TGGGATTTAGCGGTATTTCTCAACCCGGAGCGATTGGCCAAGTATTGTTATTCTATTACCAATCTTCTTCGCTTCTGCTTCGGATTTAAAAGCTATGACAATAGAGCTTGTTTACTTGCTTTTCCAGCTTCTAGATAGCCAGTAGGGGTTCCCAACAATAGTTTGGTTCTTGTTATACGTTGGGATTTCTGTGTGGAGAAGCTAGAGGTTTTCAGCTCCATCAAAGGTTGTTAGTACTCCGTGTACCACGAGTTTAGTCCAGGACTCTAGAGGCTGGGCTTTCTTAATTGGCAGCTGGTTTTGCCAAGTATTGATTTGCTTTAGAAGAAATTCTCCTGAGTATCCTTCGGTGGTCGTAAGGATAAGGTTGTTTCTTTTACTCGTTGCTACCTGTTGGATAACTGGGCCAGCGATGCCAACCTTCTGGAAGGCTTGGTTAATCTTATTTCTTACTAGTAGAGGGCTGGTTATTTGGCCCTCTTCTAGTGTTACTAGCGTCTGGTAGTAAGATACTGGTTTTTTAGCTAGTTGCGCTAGCTTCTTCTTTGGTTGGACTGTTATCCAGGCCTGGTTTGAGTTGTTTGCTGCAATTGTAGCGTAGGAGGTTTGGGCTGGTTTTTGAGCTACTTGTATAGCTATTGGTTGTGCCTTATTAGAAGCTATAGTAGTAGCTTGTTTGAGCGTCTTTGTTGCCTGCTGGGAGGCATTTGCCAGCGTAGCTGAGTGGTAAGCTAGTTTGGCAGATAGCTTTTCCATAATTTAGTTAGCTACTCTGCCAGTTTCAGTATAGTCTCTAAAGACGTCTAGTAGCTCTAGTAGCTTATTTTAGGCTACGTGGGATTCTTCCATTGTAGAGGCTTGAAGGATTAGATCTCTAGCCCAATAGATTGCCTGTTCAGAGTTCTTAGCGATTGGTTTTAGGCTAGAGGTATTCTAGTATGGATTTCTACCTCTATAGGTATTCTCTGGTGAGAAGTTGGCGTATCGTTTGTTTGGTGGTAGTATTAGTATTTCAAACACGCTAGGTGTTTGTTGGTTTTGAGTAGGTGTAGCTGGAGTAGACTCTATCTCCATTTCTCTATCAGTTTGGGCCTCTGGCCCTAGGCTCTCCTGTCTGTTTTCCTGAGTATTTACTACAATAGTATCACTGTCTGGCGGCATTTTATTACTAAGCTCTTTTCTTAGTAAGCAACTAGATGGTCTGTGTGTTTTTGTTTTCGTGAGTGAGACGTGTTCAGATTAGCTACTTTACCAGCTTCTAGCTCTATAGCGCGTGGGCTGCACGAGTTGGCACTAGTTGTAATAGATTTCTTGGGATGGATTTGTATATATTTCGCTAAAATTACACCTATTCTGAAAAACTCGAAGTTGGTGTGTGCTTAACTTGTTTAGAATGGGGAGAAGTTTGCGTAAATGGCTCCGGGCCTGTTTACCTCCGTTCTTTGATTTTTAGCTACTAAACCTAATCTCGTAAATTCCGACTGAGAAACAGAGCCGGGAATACCGTTGTATTCGGAAAACGGGTGTTTGGTAGCTATGAACCATGACTAGAATTTATCCACCCTACTATTATACTAAAATCAGCCCTGTATAGTAGTTGTCTACGCTAAAATGACTCAATGTAGCATATCAACGGTGAACAGATTGATTGATGGAAAATCTAACAGCCTTTTCCTAACATCTGAACACGGCCCGATTGTAAAGTCTTTCTTTCTGCGTCGTCGGCTATTCCGAGGCGACAGCCTCCACATCTTGATTCGTCATTTTGTCAATCCCAAACAGAGAAAATAATTTGTTGTGGCCTCAACAAGGTGCCGTTCAACCACCTGAGTCGTGACATTTGTAGTAAGGATTTTGTACTGCACATGGTATACAGAGTGCATACGATCAAGTGCCTCCTCGATGCTAGACTTGTTCATATCGATGGTGGCAGTGTTCCTTCTCATCGCTGCTTGCATAGTTTCGTTGATCTAAAGGTCGGCAAAATACTTCTTGTGGTGTTTACGTCGACTCCATACTTCATTCGATACATGGGTAAAGCTAGCTGGTATTAATGCTCTTCACGATTCGAACTCCCTGATCGGTGACTACAGGAAGTAAGTTGATTTGTTGACGTGGTAATCAAGACTACACACTCCTAACATCGTCAAGGGACGCCTATTGGGCCCGTTGGGGCGCTGGATATTTTTATCAAAAGCAAGAAGCCTTCGATACATATGACGCTCGCCTGTCGTACATTCTCAACTACAAGGGCAAATACTCCGGGAAAGTCTGGAAGAACTGGCCTCAAGCCATCTTCAGCTTCAATATCCAGGTAAATATCCCTAACTTAGTCCTCTGAATCTGATCAGCTCCAGTTTTCCTAACGTAAATTGTGCGCTGCAGAACGAGCCCATGACCCCTGGACCCAGCCAATGCCAAAATGGTGATCCTGCTGGCTGGATGTGTGGCCGCGCTAGACATATGCGCATAGCAGGACTCGAGAGCCGTATTCTAGTCTCTACTGGTGGCCTGGGCGGTGACATCTCGCACGGATATACCTTTCTCCCTGCTGTCACTCAATGCGACGCCATCTCCGCCATCTCCATCCAACGCTATGCTAGTGTGCCTGGTCAGTGGAGCACCAATATGCCCAACTGGATCAAATAAGCTAATGGGAAAAAGGTCTATCTTGAAGAATTGGGTATTGACTCTCAAAAGTATGATCAAAGGTCAGCATTCGTCCCGGAGGTGATCAACATGGACTCTGTTGGCCTGCCTCACTTGTATTGGCAGCTTCTGCCCCCATCGACTGGCAACTGTAATTACGATCCCAAGCAGGACAGTGGTGATCCATTTGGTATCTACACTAATTCTGGAGTTAACTTGGCTGGTCCGATCAATGCTGCTACCTCATCTGGAGCAGCGCAGGACTGAACTGGCACCCTGTATTGAGATATACTGAAGAATGTGGTTACAATATCCAAATTCAATATCTTCTCTAAGAAACAGGTGACAAGAAAAAGACTTGTTGATCAGCAAACAACAGTTTGATTGATCACGGTGTACTAGTGAACTATAGTATGTAAATGGAACACTTATAATGCTATTAGATAACAGACAACTAGTAGCAGACTAGCTTTTACATGGCTATCAATGCGTGTTCAAAAAGTTCTATAGGCTGTTGGCTGATCTGCCTTACGCCTAGCGACCTTAGTCACCTACCCAGAGGCTCAATTTCAAGAGAGTGATGATGTTGTACGTTTGGATTTCCACAGTTGTCATAGACGGTAGAAGGGGACTTATATGGCTTGAACCTTGCTGCGCTCTTTCGGGTCTTTCTGATCCATGCTGATATGGTCTTGTCTTTTCCACGTCTTCAAGGATTCATTACTCATGAGCTAGTTCGTCTAGTATCTGGAGCCGAAACTGTACCTATCACTAGAGAATAAGATAGCCGTAGTGAAGTGCTCAAAGGTGTGAGAAACGAACCTAACAAAAGTGCAAAATTAGGACTCATCAGAGAGAGAATGTGTGCTCATGAGGTAATCTATAGAAGAAAAGGGAGTGTCTGGAGAGTAGCCTGCGAAGTAGAGAGTTGACGCAGGGTAAGACATGACAGAGCTTGTGGAATGGAGAGCAGGGGACAAGCTGGGATTGGGATAAAGAACGTAGCTTATCGAAGCCAAAATGACCTCCCAGTCTATACCTACCGCTCGAAAACCTACTATTATGCCATGATTTATCTTTTGTTATGGTATCAGAATATATATTTCCAAGTTCAGTGTCAGAGTTTGCTAGTTTCTTTCGCCGAATTAGTCAACTGGCGTTTAATGACTTTTCCGCTTGGTGTCTTAGGAAGCTCATCCACAAAAATTACATCCCCAGAAAGCCATTTTTGCTTTGCGAATCTATTTTCAACAAGCTCATAAACTGTTTTCGCAGTAATTTTTTCATCCTTTTTGACAACAAACGCACGAGGACATTCGTTATCATTCCTATGTTTATATTAGCACACACTATAAACATAATCGAGAACTTATATAACAGCACTTACATTAGCACTCCAACAACTGCCACATCTGCGACTCCTGGGTGTAAAACTATGGCTGCTTCTAGCTCTGCTGGAGAAACCTGAAGGCCATTGACCTTGATCAATTCCTTGCAACACAGTATTAGCCCATCTGACTCTCGTCTGGTCTTCGTTATAACCCACCTTGAGTCTATCCACAATGAATATTCTGCCTGCCTCGTTGAAATAAGCAATATCTCCAGTCTTTAGCCACCGGATACCATCTTCCATCACGATGGCCTCGCTTGTAGCTTGAGGGTTTTTATAATAGCCCTTCATCACATTCTTTCCACTGACCCACAGCTCCCCAACTTCAGTTCCAGTTGGCACATTACCAGCCCAGGACTGTCCATCCACAGGCATGATTTTTCCAAGAAAGTTCGGATTGAGATATCCTATTGAGGACGCATCATGGGGATCATCTGGCGAGAAACCACTCATCGAATTTGTCGTTTCTGTCATACCCCAGCCCTGGCGTAGAACCAGTCCACGAGATAGATATTGCTGTTCAGTCTGTTTCGCAGTGTCTTGTCCGAGTGGAGCAGAGCCTGTGAGTGCATATTCTATAGAGTTAGGATTATGCATCTCTGCCGGTTGTTTAGACATCTGAACAAGGATTGTCGGAACTCCTGTAAGAAGTGTAATCCAATAGATATCTACAAAAAGAAGCAGTAGTCTTATGGAGTAACGATGTATGATGTAGACTTTAGCCCCAACCAGAGGAGCATTGACACAGTAGTAGATCTGCCCATAGGCATGGTACATTGGCAGCGGTGCTAACCATCGTTCGCCTGAACGTGCAAGTCGCTCTTTTCTGGCATAGGCCTCAGGTATATCAGCGCTCATTTTGCGATAATGCACCAGCTGAGTGGGGTTGGCGACAACATTTGCGTGCGTAATTTCAACGCCTTTCGGTGCTCCAGTCGTCCTTTGTATTGAACACCCTGTCAGACCCGAACGTGACTAATGGAGACTTAAACGAACCCACTGGAAGAATTCAAAATAATAACTTCAGAATTCAGATATTTGGGATCCGTAGATGCTTTCCATTGGAAGGATGTGGCCTCCACTTCAGACGCCCAGAAGGAAGTCCACGGCTGGGCAGTAGTTGATCGTGAGACTTCGCTCGCGTCTTCTAGATGACAAAAGACGAACACTTGACTTTTCGGGATTCCCACTGCGAATGCCGGTTTTAGAGCCTTATCGACTGTGTCGGGACTACTAATGAGTACCTTGGCATCGGACGCCCGGGTCTGGTATTCTAATTCTATATAAGGAATATTAATAAGAAGATGTGTTCGTAGAAGATGCACGTAATAGATTATCTGCTTCAGTCGCCGTCGGCGAGACTGCGGTGAAAACGCAATCTGCTGCTATAACTCCCCAAAATAGAATTGGGAAGAAAAGGTTGTTGCTTGAAAATAGTGAGACTTTGTCATCAGTTTTCAGTCCCAATTGGCGTAGTCCTAATCCAATGCGCATTGCAAATCCTTCGCCTTCTACTAGACTGTAATGTCGCTCTGGTCGAAATGCGTCGATATATTGGGGTTTTCTCCGGAAAGATGCGCTTTTAGCTCGAAAGACAAATGTCAAGAGATCGACTTCAGGTATGTCGACAGTATATCGCGAGCGATGTATTCTTCCCATCTCGGTAGGGTGCAGCTGTTGATTGAGGCGATGGAGGTGCTATCCAGCTCGAAAAGTATCAAAGGGTATTAAAGAGGAAACCAGAAGCTTGATACAGGGATGCTAGGCACAATACCATATATAAGTTAACTGTAGTGCAAGCTATTTACGGTTCCATTTAGATCCTTTCACAAGGTACAATACATGCGCTCGGGCCGAGAGCATAGAAAGCGCTGCTGCTGCGTCAGGCCGACACAGAGCAACACACAAGAATGTCCAAAGCTAATGTAACAAGAGCCAACAATCAATCTTGTGTTTCACCAGAAGGTCTTGGCTGTATACCACGAAGAAGAAATTATTCCAACATGCGGCCGATACTCATTGGCAACATTTCTGGGTCGACTGGAGACCGACTAGATGGTGGGTCAAATCTCGGCACTCCACTTTTACTGTACAACTAAATTTTCATAGGTCTACGTTCAATGCTACTTGGGGCATTAAAGGTTGACGCGATCACTGGGGACTGGCTCTCCGAATACAATATTGGTACACGCGCACTGCAGAAAGGGTTTCACGGTGCCAAACACTATGAGCCAGGATTTCTCCATTCACTTCGAACCATACTCCCTCTATATAAATCGTAACCTAACAAAATCAAGTTTGTTGTAAATGCCGGAGGCGGCAACCCACGGAAATTTGCATTGCAGGTTGCTAAATTACTAACCCAGAATGGGTTACAAAGAAAAGTGGCTTTTGTTACTGGAGATGATGTACTCAGTGATCTAGACTCTCTCAACGTACAGCCGCTGGAGGAGACAGCGGAACCCTTCCAAAAATTCCAAAAATTGCATGGAAAAATACTTTCAGCGAAGGTCTACATCGGGTCAGCTGGTATTCAACCCGCCCTTGAGCAAGGCGCAGATTTTGTTACTGTTGGTCGATGTACGGACGGATGTTACGTTGTAAGCATTCTGATAGAATTGGGCGATGTGCAAAGCTTATAGTTTTCAGTGCGGAGGATTCTTTTCTGGTTACCAGGAAATGGGCCAACATCACTTTGACTTGTCCTTTCCGATCGCTGAAGTATTTGCTGATGGGACAGCCATCATTCAAAAGCAGCCAAACCAAAATGGAATGTATTTAGTGAATTATCCAACATGTAGCTCTTATCCAGATCTTGCTAACTGTACCTAATCTAGGGTGACAGTTGATACCGTCAAGACACAATTCGTGTACGAACTGCAAGGCACACACTATCTGAATCCGGACGTCATTGTAGACTTGACAAGCGTTGAATTCGAACAGTTAGGGAAGGACAAGGTCATGATTCAGGGGGCGAGAGGTGAGAGGGTCAAGACATAACAATACAGAACTGAAATAACAAGAATACAACAGGGCTACCGTCTCCAAAGACTTTGAAACTCGCGGTGACGGCTGAAGCTGGTTATCAAGTTGAATTTTATGTCCTGATTACAGGACTTGGAGCTGAGGTAAAAGCCGAGAGCTTTAGAAGTCAGTCCATGAAGATGATCGACACATCCAAATTGAAACGGCTCGACTTTCAGCTGCTTGGGTCCCCTCGTGAAGATCCGACGTCACTCAACGAGGCTACTGCATTACTACGGTAAGCTTTTCGGTTTTTCAGGTGGCCTTCGACTAGCCCCAAAATCTCTATAGTGTTTTTGCCCAAGCAGATGATGTGGCGGTGCTCACGCGCGGTCATTTTCTTGGGCCGCTGCTGAGCAATCAACTGCAAGGGTTTCCGGCTTTGACACCGATTCTTGACTATCGCACTGCAGATCCCAAGCGATCTGTGAGATTGTACACAGGGCTCGTCCCCATTAGCAACGTCACCGAAAGGTTGCATTTGTTAGGGCCAGCGCCGGAGTATTATGAAACTGCCTCCAATGTCCAGCCATTGAATCTAGAAATGTGCTTTGATAGCACACGGGTGAATTTATCACGTCCAGCGTTACTTCAACACATGGTATTAAACCCGCCAGTTGCATTTTCTGGGCCTACCATAAAGGTTGCGTTGGGATCACTACTCTACGGACGCTCTGGCGACAAAGGACCCAACGTCAACGTAGGGCTATTTTTTCCTGTCAAACATCAGACTGAACAGAAATGGCAACGGCTTCGCACGTGGCTCACCACTCCAAAACTTATAGGTTAGTGAACATGTAATCCATACCGCTTTCTTGACATATTTGATGGGCTGACAGATTGATCATAGAGCTGATGGGCAATGATTACTACCTCGGCCTATCCATTGAGCGGTGCGAGTTCCCCCTCTTACAAGCCGTACATTTTGTCGTTCACAAATTACTTGGAGGTGCTGGTGACGGGGTAAGCAGTACGAGCAGCGTTGATGCTCTAGGCAAGTTATAACTCTCAGGGTAGCTCCTTCATCAGTGTTGGACGGCAGAAATTGACGAACTCAACAGGGATTTGTGGAGTTTCTTCGTGCCCGCCATGCTGAAGTTCCGAAAGTGATTCTGGATGTTCGAAGCCAGATTTGAGATTGCAATGGTCTCACCCTCGTGTCCTGGGGGCAGCTAGCATAGGGTTGGTGTAGATGAGAGCGTATGCAACCTTGACCAGAACTCAACATCAATGTGCATTTCGTCGCGTGCAAATATAGCGAACCACTGTTGACACGAGCCGATGTCAAAATGATTTGCATGGCCTGTGCATGATGTTTTATCAAGAAGCACGAAGCTGATCAGCCTCGCAGTGTGTAGCTTAGCACTAGCTGGCGTAAGGGTCTCTACTCTGCCAACCACTGAACCTCCCAAGGTCAATCATTTTCATTTTTCTATTCTGGGTATGCTAAATAAGCAGCTATGGGCTTCCTCTTGTTATCCAAAGTGGGCAACGTTGGTGCCGCATCTTCACCCTAGATGTGCCAGTGCGGGGTACGTAACCGGCATAGCCGGCCATCTGCAGCATCGACCACAGGTATACATGACGTGAACATTGTTTCTCTAATTTACTCTTTTTATTCATCTTGATTTATTCTTCACTTGGTTGATGTATTTTTTATAGCAACTTATCAACGGCGCTCTAAGTATGCCTAGTGAGGCGTGCACGCCATGTCGTGAGCGGAAGCTCAGGTGTGACGCCACCTCCAACATACCCTGCACCCGTTGTCGAGATACTCAACACATTCATAAGTGTGTCATACCTCCCAGACAGAAGCGTACAATCAATCGACACAAGCGCGCCCGAATCGACCACGCTTGTGGCAGCGCTATAGACAGAGAACAGCTGAGCCAACATCCCATTATCATTGCTGACATTGACACTTCGTGTCAACGTCTTGACGATAATGGAAAATCGAATTCGCCCGCTGACGCCGCTCCGACCAACGCGCAGATGGAAGAACAGCAGCCCAGTCCTCCCGCCATATGTTTTGGCATCACCGATCTGATCTCCAGTCCGCATCTGCCAGGTGAAGACTACAATTCACATAGACGAGGCCCAAGTTCATGGGCAGCATGTACCCCTACCTCGGGGAGGCCTACAAGAGGAAAGTGGTGACGATGTTTTGGCACGGGTTTGCTAGGAGATAGCAACCACCAGCGCACGTGCTCAGCTAACCACATTAGGGTCTGCTTGGGGCAAAGTACTAGAGTATCACAACAATCTCAACGCCTCGGGAATTCTGGGAGAATTGCCGGCTGGGCGAGATTCTAGGAATTTCATCGCCATTGATCGTAGCGCTTCACATGCACGCCGCGATGATGAGCTTTGCAGTCTCGACGAGCACGACATCAGCTATTTGCATAACAAGGGCGTCTTCGAATTGCCTCCACGCGAAGTTTGGTAAGTGAAGTTCTGATTTATACCTAGCCTCGCTGATTGGCGATAGTCTGGATATGTTCAAGGTTTATTTTCAATACGGATTTTCCTACGCCCCCATCATTGATCATGCTGAGTTTTTGGTGCAGTTTGATCGAAAGAGTATTATTTGTTCTTGATACAAGCACTCCTCGCCAGTATCACACCATATACTAGCAAGGAACTCATTGCTCGCGCAGGCTTCACAGATCATACTGACGCGCAAAAGACCTTCTACCGCCGAGCTGTCTTGTTATACGATTTAAATTGTGAGAAAGATCAGCTTGTTGTACTACAAGGCTCTCTATTACTTGGCACATTGTGGAGATCTTATTTCATTGAGAAGGACTATTCTTTCTGGAGGTGCAATGCTGCCCGCATCGCCATTAAGATGGGCCTCAATAAAAGGTAAGCACATGAACTGTTGAATACGATGATAGATGCACTTGGCATGGACTAAGCATAGTCATGGTGCAGGTGTATTGCTGATAATCTTGGCGCGAGATTCTACGCGCTTTTAAAGCGCATTTGGTGGACGCTTTACGTAAGTCATGCAGTGTACCTACCCTCTTAGGCCGAATGTTCTGATTTATATATGTAGATACGGGATATCCTGTCAAGTATTTCCGGTTTAGATAACATCAGACTTTTACGAGCTAAAGATTTTGATACGGTACCTCTCACCAAGGATGATTGGCCGGAAGATGAAGCAACCTGCCCACAGGGTCTCATCAGTATCTTATTACCTGTGCAGACACACCGCCAAGACTTCCTGATACACCTGTAAAAACTTGCCATGATAGGTATAACAGCGTTTTCGGCTATCTTCCTTGTCCTACTGACCTGACTTCACAGGGGATCTTGCTCACAGTGCGGTTTTGTCGCGCAGCTCAGCTAAGATGGACAAGAGCAAAATTTCTACTCTTATTAATGACATCTTCGAGTGGCGGCGCCTTACCACGTTCAATACAATTGGAATCGGTCCGAGATTGGAAGAATGAAGGCGTTTGGATTTTGGTGTTGATGGCTTGGTGCTATCGACTAGAATGCATGATTTATCGAAGTGCAAGCAAGAATTACCCTCTTGGAGACATCGAACACGATCGAATGGCCGACTCACTGCATAGAGCTATATTTGAACTAGACGCAGTTGTACGCAGAGCTGTCACACATCGGGTTGGGCAATTCTTGCCTATGTCTTTGTAAGTCACATGATGGCTTTGTGGCCTCAAGACCTCGTCTAATTTCTACTCCAGCTCGACTGCTGTTGCTACACTAATTGCATTATGCACTGAATTGTTGTTAAAGCCTGACATCGAGCCAACCGACAAGCTTATGAGTGAGGAAGCCGTGCGCACTGGAATCGTGTTCCTTATCGCATCTCAAGACACACGGCCGTCCTTGCGATGGATGCTAAAAATGTTCAGCTGGGCCTTTAGGCAGACCGGACTAGATTTCGATACAGGTCTTCACATTGATGACATTCTGACACAAGTTGAAAGTCCGTTCACTTCTCAAAAATCCAAATCGAACCGCGATCTTTCCTCTATAGATTTTGGATTTTTAGACTTTTCGAGCAATACTCTCTTCGGTTCAGAGTACATACTGAATGTAGATGGATTCGCTCCCTAGACAATCTAGTATGTTTTTTGGAAAGTCAAAAATGTGTGGCTACAAAACCCTATGTGAAAGAAACTCAAGTGCTGTGCATTGCTTCATAGACGGCCCGTCTTTTCTGGATGAACTTGTGCAACAAGTGCATTTTTACCATGCTCAGCAAGTGCAAGCAGCTTTCCAGTCACCTTGTCTCTCGCTATGAATTGAATGACCGCTCGCTAAAAGTTAGCTTTGCAATATGAATTAAACGATCGAGAAACATGATGAACTCACACATCCTTGAGCTTACGCTCCTAAGAACACACGTCACAACTATGGTAGTGCCCAAGAGAGCTGGGCGAACATAGGTGACACTCAAAGTTCGAGAGACCCCGCCAAACTCCCACCAACCCTGTCGTGCGATAGGAGCTCCAGCCATAGTTGTAGTCATATCTGCCAGCAGAGCCATCGCGCCACCATGCATATTATTCATGGGATTACACAATTGGGGTATAACTTCAAGCTCGAAAATTGCTTCTGCTTCATTTCCCGTCCCTTCTGCATCATTTCGCGAAGCAGATGTTACGTGTATTACACTCATCAATGTTGCTTCATGGCCCTAGTGATTAAAGTGATTAAAAAATAGATATGGAATGTTATGAATTCTTCTATCTTACGGTATAGGTCCTGTCCTTTTGGTAGCGATCAATGTACTCTTGAATTCTTTCTTTCGGATCTGCAATGGTTATATCGAACGGCAATGGCCCTTTCACTGACTTCGGAAACATTTGTTCTAGACGGAACCCTTCGTTCTAAGTGTTGGAGGCAATCCAATCAGAATACTGACTCTCGAGAAATCAAACTCGTTGTTTTAAAGCAAATGACGTATAAGAATGCAGCGGTATAACATGGTCACATAGCCGCCGCCCTGTGAAACTAGTCTCGCGATGATGCCGAGGTTGTCGCGCTACTACGCAAGCCCGAGTCAGCCTAGTGCTCCTTCGAGCTATTTCGGGCCGAGCTGGATGTGCGCGCAACCCTCACCGCCGGAACAGCGCGGGAACTTGATACACTAAGAAAGAACACATCACAAGCAAAGCATTGAACGTGGTGACTAACGTATGCAAGTTAGATGTTCTAAAGTCATATTTTCGCTAGCATATGTTCTTGACGCCCGTAAGCTTGCCACTACCATCCTCCATATTCATTGCGAATGGACCTGGCTGAGTATCCTCACCATCTAGCAAGCCCATGTACCATGTCAGGTCTCGCTCCAGTAGTGTCAGCTAGCAGTAATGTATTTGGGATTTTCGTCACTCACGCCGTCTACCTCTCGCATATCAAATCCATTTCCCAAAAACGAGCATGAGTTTCCATCAAGATATTCAAAATCGAAATGTTCGAATCTTGGGTGTTGAAGGACGGTGAGTTCTCATGTAAACATCAGTACAAATTAACATTCTAGTGGCTGGAGTGAAAGTAGGGACTCACGGTGAATTCGAGATCCGGGCCAAAGTACTGGTTTATTGGAGGTCTCGCCATTGCGGGACCAAGAGCTACAAGGACTATTATGGAAGTTAAAATTTGAATCGGATAAGATATCATTGGTGTAGTCTACTTGCCCTGACCAGGCTGTCCGTTTCAGATACTCATCCGCATAGCGGGTAAAGTCCTCAGAAACTGATCTCTTGATAGACAGCCTTTTCACATTATCTGTTCGTGCTTTCTTAAGTATTTGAAGCACGTAATCCGTATAATGCTCGACCATTGGTAGGACACAACCATGCCCTACAATCAGTGCTTTAGCAACCACTTTCCGTAAGATATTTGCAATAAGACTAACCCAAAGGCCCATATGCACCAAGAAAGACAAAGTAATTGGGAACTTCAGCTAGACGAAGATCAGCTAAGAGAAGTTTATCAATGCATTGATGCATCGGCTCAGCTGTTGCATACGATATGTAAGACCTAAGCAGCCCTTGATGTCGCCATGAAAGTTGTCTTGGAGGTTTTTGCCGTTATAGAGCACTTTGAAAGGCGACATGAATGAGGTGTCGAAGCTGGTGAGTTTTCTGGTCAATTGGTGCTCTTCACAGCCACTAGTAAATCATACATACCCAGTGGCGCAGATGATCGTGTCTACCTCGTGTTCTTGGCCTTTGCTGTCTTTAAAGCCGTTGGTAGTGACCTCAAGGATTTCACCAAAGTGAACCACTGTTTTCTCATCTGTCAAAGCCTCCAGGAAACCTGAGAGCATTTTCAGTCGTCAATTTCGCGCAAGGAACGGATAACCATCCCCTTACCAATACCTGGGGTTGGCCGTCGACAGCCAACATTAAAGTCCTTCGGAATGAGATTTTCCATAAGCTGGGTTAAAACTGCAACCTTAGTGGATTCTATTAAAAGGTTCAAGACTTGGCTTGGAGGTTTAGCCAATCTGAGTGGAGATCCATACATTGTGCACATGTTTCAGGCTGTTTGATGTATCTGAAGATTATCTGGTTCTGCAGTGTATGCCTACAAGCGCATGTTGTAGAGGAAATTGGGGTGAGACTGTTAGCTGCCGTTTCTGGGGGAGATTAAAAGAGAACAAAAAGTGCATCTGCGCACATGCTTGGTCAGCCTGGGATGAAGCAGTAACATGCACTATATATATCTAGGATAAGGTTGATAAGAGACTCGCGGGGAATAGGCTAGCACCGATCCAAAGCTTACAGGTTCCATTGCAAGAAATATATGAGACTAACACGAGTGCTTGTACATCAGGAAAGTGAAGTTCTCAAAAAGTTAGTTCATGCATGTGGATTATCGATCCCGCTTTCGACTTTCGCAGGCTGCAAGCCAAGCTGTAGGCGTTCCTTCCTTTTTCTGACCCATTTTCCTTATTGAGCACGGTGCTGTGATGCTCCTGTTATCGGCCATTAGAGTTCTCGTGTAGCATTCCAAGAAGATTGGCAAGAACCGAAGCCGCAAAAAGCATGCCTACTTCGGTTATATTCCGACAATCACATGATATGTATTCCCTATGTTCATGTAATTAGTATTTAATCACCAAAGTCCATGCGCAAAGCAAGAAATGTAGCCTTTATTCGTGTGATGACATTTCCAAGTGCTACAAGACGTTGGGCTATGTTTCTCTAGTCTTGGTCCAGGTATAGCTAGGTAGCTGAACGCGGTGGTCCGTGCGATTATTAGAGATTGTTGCAGAAAAAAGCGCTTGCAAGATTTCACCACCGTAGAGGGCAAGCTCACGCAACTATGAGCGTATACAATTAGATCAGCAGGCAAGAGTCACTAACGTGTTTCAACAGTGGGATAACCACACCGGTGAGCTGGCCGGAAAACCGAATAAATCTCTTTGTAATTGAAGCGGCAAGGGTTGTGCAGGAGACCTGTGAGGTTTCATAGATGTGTTATCTACCGCTTAATTCCCTGTTTGAGAGATAGCGGATGGGAGATGACGGAAGGAAAGTTCAAGGGCAATCTGAAGGTGCCAATCACAGATAACATGCTTGGTTTGAATGAAGAAAATGAGTATTACATCATCTCTTAGGGTGAAAGCATTGGTGAAGCGAGATGAGAGACGGACTTGATTGTGAATAATCCTGACTAAAAGACCACCAGTAAAACCCACATACATAAACCCACCTCCTAATTAGAGCGCCCCACCAACGCTTGAAGTACAAAGAACTAGAGAAGAAATTTCTAGTGATTAGACAGTAGTCTAGTGAACCAGATCGAAAGAGATAAAGGAACCGCGCAAGAGCCACTGCCTCTCTAGCATACATTTGCCATGCAAGAGCCTGTCACGGCATTCGCAGCGATGCCAAGCGGGGGCGCCAAGATGCCTGCAACCCACGCGCCAATACCAGCGCCAAAGGTGAGGCCCTTGCATTAATCGCACTACTCGTTAGCCGAGCAGTCAATCTCATAGCTGAGCTCTCCCTGGTGGGCGTCGTTGGCGTCTGAAACGACAATGCTGAGCGTCTGCGGCACCCACGTGTAGTCGACAAAGTGGTCCACATATCCACCAATGCACGAGTCCCTACCGCTCTTGCACGGGTCCCACATGCGTTCGTTAACGTTCTCGTGCTTGATCATGTCGGGGTATCCGGTGCCGATTTCCTTGAGCATATTGGCCATGGAGGATGTGGTGCCCTTCTTATTACCGTGGCATCGAAACTTGATCTTGCAGCCACCGGGAATGTTGATTCACGACTCGTCGCACATAGTTGTGATAAGAATAGTAGCGTAGTATAGCGTAATTAGTAAGGTAGAGATGTTGTGTCGTTAAGAACTTCGTTTTCGAAATAGATTCTGTGTATTGTAGCTATTCGAAGGTTCGTGCGGGCTTGATCCCTCCGTAGATTCGTTTGTACTGGATGATCCTTAAGAACCACTGAAGAGAGACCGATCAAGTCTCGTGCGTTGAACTGGAAACAGACCGATATCTCCAATTCTCTTCAAGCTACTTGCTCTTTTTGTAAAGCCAGAAGGCGGAATGTCTATTCACCTGATTCGTTCCGTGGAGTCACATTGCTTCGCGTTGTTCTGCTCTACAGCCCACCGAGGGACTACCAGCTGTATCTTCGCTTACTTCGTACGGCTTCGCACCCGTAGCTTCATGCGCCTCAGCAGGTTCATCTTGCTATTAGTAGGACATCTTCGGTTCTTGGTAACCAAAGCTTGTAATTACGTGTTCTGTCTAGCATAGTGTTCGGCTGTCTACGGCTCCTTATATGAGAGGATACCTGTGAACATGAAGTATCACTGCAACATCAACCACAGCAACAACCCCTCTTCCAGTATCCATCACAAATAAGTTTGCTACACAATATGTCTAATCCAACTTATATTTTCGGATCCCACCAGCTTGAATTTTTCTCAAAAGAAGACCTGTAGACTCTACTCAACATCCTCAAGAAAAGAACGATTGGAATTATCACCACTGCTCGCGTCTGTCCTGATAGTAGAGAGATTCTTGGAGAATTGAGAGCTGCCGAGCCGTTCAATATCGACACCAAAACCCCGGCATTTGCTTCCAACACGCTGAGTCGCGAGTCTCTTATCAATAGCATCCAGACCTCTCTCTTACTACTCGGCACCGGAAAGGTGAACGTCTATTACATCCATGCCCCAAACAGTTCCACTTCTATCGAGAAGACAGTGGATGTTCTTCAGGGGTTGCACGGTCAGGGCAAGTTCGAACGCTTGGGTTTGTCCAATGTTTCACCAGAGGATATTCGAAAGATAAATGCTTATGCAAAGTCCAAGGGAGGAGTTGTGCCCACTGTATATCAAGGCAACTACAGTGCCTTCGCTCGCACGATTGAGAGGGATCTCTTCCTCACGCTGCGCGAGCTTGGTATCGCCTTCTACGGATACTCACCCATCACTGGTAGCTTCTTTTCTAAGTACCCTGAAGATCTTGAGAACAAGACGGCAACCGGCAGGTTCGACATGTCGACGTTTGGTGGTCAGATGTACAATCACATGTATACGAAGCCCACCATGATTGAAGCCTTGGGGCAGTGGATCAAGATTGCGGATCAAGCAGGCGACTCAAGTGTTAATCTGGATTATCGATGTGCGATCTTTCATTCCAAACTCGATTTCAGGGCTGGTGACGCAATTATACTTGGAGCAAGTCGGGCCGCACAGCTAGAGAAGACATTAGCGGTGCTTTATGCGGGTCCTCTAAAGGAAAAGACTGTAAAGCAGATTGACGAACTGTGGAGCTTGATTGAGAAAGATAATCCTTTAGACAACTACAACTTGTTTGTAAAGGATTTTATGTAAATAAAGGTATGCATGAAATTAGACCCGGACAGCTACGCTGGTGGTTCATGTTGTGAACAGGGAAGAATTAGCAAGAAACGACAAGTCATGTTTCGACGGCCTTATCTTTGTGATGTATTCCTCACGTTATTTATATATCCTGAGTGTAGATTTTCTTTCCCATATGGACGCCATATAATCAAATTGTAATCTCATAATGTAATTCACTTATTCAACTTTTATCCTCGTACCCCAAGACCCTTGACGGATGCGAGAGGGTACCTAGAGCAATGGCATTGCACCAGGCATGTCCCTCTTCTTCATTGAATTAACACCCTCAGTGACATTGCCATACACCGTGCCGTTGACGTTGGCTTCACCCAGCCACGCTGCCTTCAAGGCCCACACACCCACGCTTGCAGTAGCAGTCGAGTTGAGGCCCGTTACCCTTAAGATCATCGTGTCTAAAGCCTGTTGAGGGAAGAAGACGCTGGTAGCGCTGAGCTCGCCTCCGTTCAAGAAAATCTCGATAATGCTGCGGTCGACGATACCAGACAATCTCCAAGCGCCATCGGCTTCATTGTACAGCCCTGTGGCTGAGAACTTGTCGTTAAAGAAAGGACTCTGGAAGCCATTTGTGCGTCCTCGATCAAGCCATACGTCCCCAGATGAGATGAAAGTTCCGCCCGAGATGGCCTCACCAGACACAGACGACGAGAAAGTGAAATTCAGCGATCCATCAAGTGAATCACCATTTGTAAGACCGGTAATATTCGCTTCGAAATACAAGGCGCCTGATTCAACGGTGGAGTAGTCGATGAGAACGGTTCCGTTGCCCAGGGAGCTATTTGAGGCCAACTCAGACTCCACGATCGACATGATGTTGTAAGGATACGAAATAAGGCTAGGTCCGAATCTCGTGAGATTCTTAATGTAATGACCGCGTGGTACAGTCATTACACTGCGGAAACCATCGCCTAGCTCCTGACCCGCAGTGGGGACGACATTCGTGTACTGCCAGTTGCTCGCCCAATTGATGGTAATCTGGTCATCACTGGACGGAATGCCGTAAAAGAATTGCCCAGCGTAATTATCTTTCGCGAAATCCGTGAAGCGAACAGTCGAATCAAGGGCTTCGAAGTGTGTACCGTTGAAGTTGCCGAGAAAGTACTCTGTAATAGAGCCCCCGAGAGGAGCGCCAGGGTTGATAGAAATCAACATTGCGTACATAGAGCTTGGCGCTCCCTCTGCAGGATCTTGGACGGGTATCTCGACCATGTTAGGGCATTCATATTGCAGTCCGGTCAGGCCGTAGTGAGTGAAGTTGCTCTCGGCTTTCCATGATTTTAGATCTGGAGAGGAGAAGATACCGACCTTGAAGTCGACAGGATAGGCCACGACCATGATCCAGTTCTGAGTTGGCTCGTACCACTATGGTATCGTCAGTATATGATCCGTTGCAAAATGTGTTCTTGTCATAATCAGAGACCCATCGACAATCACTGGGGACCATTTACAATGACTTTAGGGTCCCGGAATTGCGTTGGGTTGGTCCCACCCGGCACAATCACAGGGTTACCCTCATATTTGATGAAGGAAATTCCGTTGTCGTAAGAATATGCAATATGCTGGGTTTGGTTCTCAGGCACATTGATCGTGTAGATAGCAACTACACCGTTGGTCTGATTAGGAAAAAACCCAGAAGTATTATTAGGGTCAATGACTGCTGATCCGGAGAAGACGCCCTCAGTAGGTCCTCCAGGGAAGATCGCAATTGGCTGATTAGTCCATGTGTAAAGGTCATCGCTTGTTGCGTGACCCCAATGTTGATTGCCGGCGATGTTTGTGGTTGGATTGTCTGAGTGATGTTAACAGTACGCCTCGCTGCAGGTAGACTTTGACAAACATTGATAGTATAGATGGTATGTGCCGTTATCATCGACATACATCTACCAGTAGGAAGTGGCAATCAGTACAAGCATATCATTTTCATGGTTAAATTTACGAACCCCATTCGGATCTGAGTTATGATTAGTTTATTTGGCACTAAATCCAAGGCGTGATGGTACTTACCGTTCATGAACCCAATTGGAGGCGAAAAATGGACCTGAGGTCTATACATGCCATTGTAATTGCCAGGCAAAGGTGTTCCTGTGGGGACATTGCTCTGTGTGTAAGTAGCCGTACTAGACGCAGTACCGGTCGCAGAACCAGAAGCAACACTTAACGATGCTAATGACTGTCCAGAGCCAAGACCAAGTAGAGCAGCTACAATCGCAAGATGTGAAAGATATGAAGGCATGTTCATGATTGACATTAATAAGCTGACCTGGGGGTACAGATCATCAGGGCAGGATGTACTGTCCTTATGTACCGTAGTATGTACGATGCCCAGATTCCGGAATACCGAATCGGTCCGGAAGACTAATCGATCATATATTCACTCCACAGTGATGACACCCTGATATTTGCCAAGGAACAGTCCACTTAGGTTGCAGCTCCATGGCACTAGGAAGAATGATCTTGCATGTACATGGTGGACGGGATACGGACCTGCTTTGGGATCGAGATGCATTGCTAGTCAGTCCAATGTGAAGGCGATCTGTAGAGAATGTTGGTGCAAGCTCCCCACAAATAGGCTGATATTAAACGGTCAAGTAGGTGCTTACTGAATTAGGCATGCATATGCGGAGTATGTTGTGTGTGTGTGGGTGCCCGTCCAATGATGTCTATGGCTTACTTAGCCGCGAATTGTAATCCTTCCGAGACTTGCTCCGGTCACTCCGCTCGCTTACGAGAATGCCAACGATTCGCGCTCGCTTGGAACTAGCGATTCGTGGTATAACAACCCCTGCAAGGCAGGTACACATACCGAGAAACATCCCCTCAATGACGATCATATGAGGCAACTAAGTGTTACAAGTAACAGGAAGGATTCTCTCCTTGGCGAGTGACAAGATGGCTGAAGGCCTATGGACGTCCACGTCAGAAGGTAATGATCAACGCGGGGCGCTGATCACGTGACTTGGCATCTCGCCAAGACAGGACATCTGGAGATGCCAGACCCTCAGGAGATGCCAGGACATCTGGAGATGCCAGCGACGTCAGAGATGTCCAGGGCTTGGCCAGATGTCAGGACTGGAAGCAATGAGGATATAAGGATGGATGGATTTCATTATTTACTCTCGTTGTGGTCAACTCAAATTGTACTTTCTTACTAGTATCTTTACTTAACAAGATTGTCACAAGTTAGTCTATCAAATAGATTAGTCTTGTCAAACCCTCCTTAAAGCACGCCAACTCCACTGTATCGCCAGACAAGCCTCACGGAACACTAACGTAATACTCACCTGCCTTAGTGCGGACCAGGATGTAACGATGTTACAACTTCGCCATGTATCGGACCAATCCCAGAGCCGGATCGGAGGTAGTACTCGCCGCCCTCTTCATCAACCACTCGTTGTGAGGTCGGATCCGATTCGGATCCGACTAAGATAAGTATATAAGGAGACACTCCCTGTAGCTAGCTCTATAGACTTTTAATATCCTTTCGTATAAGGCCTATAGGTGTCTATTCGAATTAAGGCTCGTTTAATATCCCACGCACTCCTATATGCCTCTAAGTGACACTACCGCCAATACTAATCTGAGTAGTCTTGCCTGCGCCGTTACATTATATTAAAAGTCTCGTCCCAGCCAGTAACGGCTTCAAAATAATATCGCAGCTGTCTATTCAGACTACGTCTAACCTCAAGTTATCCAGCACTAATCTGAATACTTACACCGTCATATCTAACATTCACCTAGGTAGGATCCCACTAATCTCCTGCCGGCCGAAGCCTTTAGATTTAGAACTTCTGCGCTCCTCGCGAGGCAGATTACTTTAGTAAAAGTCGCGTAAAGTGCGCCACGGTAGAGACTCAGAGACTACCAATAACCTATTAACCTCAGAGGCAATCGCTAATAGTTAACTTACTAAAACCCAGTAGTTCTAAGGAACCACCTTGGAAATCGGTCTAACTCCAGAACTAAACCGTCTCAGAGAAGAAAGCTAGCAAGCTACCAACCTAGGAATCTCCAGAGACTTCATCCCTACGAGAAGAAGAAGAAGACAAAGACAAGAAGAATTCGGTACCAGTACTAACTATAAGAGACCTCCATAGGCAGATAGCTAGCTTAGTTAACTAAGTCCACTAACTAACCTAAGAAAACGCCAAGCTGCGGAGTAACGTAGTTCTTACCACCAAATCCCCACTAATATCAGCCGAACTACCTTCCCGCTAATTACTAAGGTACACTTCTACCACCCCCGAGCCTCTACGTGTTAAACTAAGCCGTCTTATCTTATCCTCTATCAGCCAATTAAGTAATAGGAAAGATCTCACCTTTCCCCAGTAGCAAGCTAAAGTAGAAGACCAACTTAACCTAAACTCGGACCACTTCCCTACGGAACGCCACTAGATAGCTATAGTGTATAGCCACACGTCAGGTAATGCCAAGAGATACCTCGAACCCAAGTACCTATCAAAGATAGAAGGGTACCAGTTCAAGAATACGGAGGAAATAATCGAGCTACTTAGATTATACTTCATAACTAGCAATAAGTAGGTGGAGAGCTAAGCCGCTTTCCACAATCTACTTATAAAAGATAGAGAGCCGTTTTCAGAGTTTAAAGCTCATTTTATTAGTCTTGCTATTAAAGGACATATATTAGAACCAGAGTGGCCCTTCTATCTCTAGTAGAAGATTAGCCCAGCTTTACGAGTTCCTAACATAGCTATTAAGCGTTTCTTTAATAGCTCCTTCAATAAGATGTGTAAACATCTTACTGCTTTCGAATTAGAACGATAATCAGCTCCTATCATAGTATAATTAGAGCGACGGACCACCTACACTTCAACTACGAAGCCTAAGTCAGCTACCTATTAGATAAGAGAGTATCGCCCACCTACGCACGAAGTAAGGTCTAACCCCGCTCTAACCCCACCTCAGGCTTTCTCGAGTGTGCCTAGGCCTACCTCTAAGACACTAGTACTAGAACGCTAAACTACTCCTAGTAACTACTACTAATACAGTAAGCCTAGACACTTTACGAGCGACTGTATAGTCCCTTAAGTAAGAGAGATAGAAGCTTTCTAAGAAGAAGAGGTGTTTAAGGAAGCTGCAGAATACTAGTTAGATAAGAACTAGTCGGGAAACGACGAAGCCTAGGAAAACGCTCCGCCCTAGGCATTTATAAGTATGACCTTGCTAAGATTAATCTATTATACTTATTTAAAGGAAAGCACTTCTAAGTCCCCACTATTCTTTGTTCGAAGGGTTATAGTGTCAGCCTGCAGTCGCTAGTTAATACTAGCGCCTAAGAGTTCTTATTTTTAAATTCTACAATTACTCATATAATCTCTAGTTCGCTTTAGGTTCCTATCTAAAGACTTCTCTTTAAGATTATAGTTAAAGAATTTTAAAATTAGGTTCAGACGAGGGTTAATTAATATATCTAGTTACACCTCTCTATTAATAGCCGCAAGATCTATAACTATCTATTCGTTATTATAGATTTAGGATCACAAGATTATATTATTAGTATTAAGTGGCTACGCCGATTTTAGCTTTAATTAGATACGGTTCGGAACCGAATCATATAGCTAGCTAAATACCTAGTAATATATAATCCTGCCCCACCTATCCTAGTGCAGTTAAAACAACTAGCTATTAACACTAAGGTTGCGAAGGATATTAAGAGACGTAACGCTCTCTGGGAGAAGGACGACTATTAGAGAAGAAATAGTCCAATTATAGCTAGTATTTAACGGATCCATAGCCTTCTTCAACTCCCCAAAGCCCGTTCTCTACCTCTAGCACCCAACTCTGCTCCGAAACCTATCCAACCTGCACTCTCTTCCCCTCCTTCACCCCACATCTTACTTATCTCTACTAACGCCTTCTACTACACTATAAAACGTAAGAAAAACGAGTTCTTTATAACAAGTATCTATAAGATCAATTATATTTTAGAGGAAAGACGACTAAAAGATAATCCTGAAAATGCCAAGTTAGTTCAGGACTAACTCCTATCCGTCTACTATCTGTACTAAGACGTGTTTAGTAAAACAGTAGCTAATCAGCTACCTAAACACCGCCCGTACGACCATAAGATCGTTCTTACTGAACCTCTGCCGAATTAGTTCAGTTCTCTGTACAAGTAGAGCACCAAAGAGCTCTAAGCGACTAAGGCGTTCGTTATAGAGAACCTTCAGAAGGGATACTTTTCCCTAAGCTACAGCCCTTTCGCCTTCTCAGTCCTATGTGTTTAGAAGCCAAACGGAGACCTACGTATCTGCGTAGATTACCATAAACTTAATACTATTATACGCAAGAATGCGTATCTAATCCCGCGTATCGATAAGCTACTTACTCGTCCCTACAAGGCCAAGATCTTTACTAAGCTTAATATACGTGCGGCTTTTAATAAGATCTGGATAGACCCTAACTCTAAAGAATATACCACATTCCGTACACGTTACAGAACGTATAAGACTAAGGTACTACCCTTCAGGCTGTGCAACGGTCCGGCAACCTATTAGCGATATATAAACGATATATTAATTAATTACCTAGATAACTTCTGCATCGCCTATCTAGACAATATTCTTATCTACTTCAAGTTAGAGTCGGACTATATCCAACATATACGTAAGGTACTAGAAAGGCTACAACAAGCAGGACTCTAAGTCGACATTAAGAAAAGTAAATTCTATATTACTCGTATAAAATACTTAGGATACGTTCTTACTAACAAAGGCCTAGAGGTAGATCTTAACAAGGTAGAAGCCCTCCGCAACTGGGTCCGACCTACTACCGTTACTAGTATAAAGTCGTTCCTAGGCTTTACAGGATTCTATCGGCAATTCGTCCTAGAATACTCACAAATTACTAAGCTAATTATCGCACTTTAGAGCCCTACGAAACTATTCGTATAGAATCTAGAATGCGACTGGGCCTTTAAAAGGTTAAAGGCAGCCTTACTAGCAATCTCTACCTTATATTACTACCACCTAGAGTATAATACTAAGGTAGAGACGGACGCATCTGATGGTGTTATGGCTAGAGTACTGTCTTAGAACTAACCTAATAGCTTATAGTGCCTAGTAGCCTTCTTTAGCAAGGTCCTATCTAGATCGGAGCTAAACTAAGAGATATATGATAAAGAGTTGTATACTATTATTATAGCATTTAATAAGTGGAGATCTAAGTTAGCCTCTGCCCACTCTTAAGTCTAAGTGTACTCTGATCACCGCTCGCTAGAATACTTTATGACTACTAAGATTCTAAACGCCTAATAAGTAAGATAGGCTAAATAGCTCGCCTTATTCAACTTCTACATCCAATACACGCCTAGTAA